ATTACTCTCAATTTCATGTATGTATATGGTGTAGGTAGGGTTATGTAGATTATTTACATAGCTACCATATAACTAGTGTGACTACTGGGATGTTTGTGTTAATTGATGAGCATGTTGTACGTATTCTTACTTGATTTGGGTATTGAACATGTGGGTTATGTGCGATATATTTTGGCATGCTATGTCTTTACACCTTAAGCCTAAAAAGTGTTTGATAAAATGCCTAATTATGTGAAATTATGTTATTTGGATTACTAATGCTATAACCCACTTGATGATGGTTATGAGATGTTGTCACATGCTTACATGATATAGTTTGCCTTGTGATGGAATGAAATTGTAATTGCATATTACATTGCATATGTACGGGTTACACTACATTCATAGGCATTGACATGAGTGTGGATGTGTGTGCATGGGTTGGGTCAATCACCATATGGTGAGTTGATTAATGGGGTCAAGAAAATTGGACAAATGTATAGTTGAGTCTCATAAAACATTGCATGGAAAATGTGTCGGGTACAACAAAGAAGAGATAGATTCTCCCTCGGGTGTAAGGCTTGATTACATGGTTCACAAATTTGCCCCGTAGTGTAATTTTAGAAAAATGTGTCAATGTACTCTAAATCGGAGGTGTGATGCCCTTGAATGTCGTGTCAATTTGGTAGCCCATGGGTGTGATGTTTATAAATTACCTACCCAAGAAAGATACAAGTATTGATAAATGGTCATTAGATGTTTACCATCAATAACAGGGGCTTGGAATGCCAGTTTATGTCATGGCATCATAGCATGTGTTGTGTACAAAAATTCAAGAGGGGGGGTGTTGGAAATGCATTCATGAAGCATTATTCATGTTTGGCATGCATAGTATCATTTCTATGTTACTACTGTGATATATGCTTGACTTGATGAGAATGCATTCATATCATATGCATTAGGATTGTGAGGTATTCTCTATAGGAGATACCCTACTAGGTTTCGGCTCACCCCATTGTGGGAAACATTTTTTCAGTATTAGACGAGCTTCTACTGACAGCCCTCCTATGGGCCCATTTTGAGGAGAGAGCTGAGCTTTGGATCCGTTTGTAGTCCTTTGTGTACATCTCTAAGTACAAAACATGTATTTTGTTAAAGACTTATAATGAGACTTTATGGACATTTATTCTTTTAATGAATTGATGTTTTATAAGAATGGTCAAGAATGAATGGTCAATGTCTGAGACTTAGACTTTGGGGTGTTGGACATTGGAATGGTCATATGGGTGTTGTATGCATAGGTTGTTTATTGGGCAGAGCTCCTCATACAAAAGAGCCTCTGTCCGGATTTCGTTTAATTGTGGATCCTAGTAAATGAAACGTAACGGCATGGTACCAGATAGGGGTGTCAATTTTTGACTCGAACACGAACCTGACTCGAACCGAACCCAACACGAACTCGAAAATAACACGATTGATTGACACGAGGAATAAATGAGTCAAATTAAGGTTCGACATGAATAACACGATTAATGGGTACTATAGATAGAAAATAATTATTTAATGAGTATTTTAGATAGAAAATAAGAATTTTATAATTTTTTATAATTTTTTAAATAGTATTTTATTAGTCGTTGTCAAATTAAATAATTTTTTATTAACACGAATATTGACACGAACCCGACATGTACTGAAAGTGATATGACACGAAAATAACACGACCGAAAGTGACACAACATGAAACTGATACAACACGACACGATTGACACCCCTACTACCAGATTATACAGTATTCACTAATATTTCCCAGACTGATGGGTGATCAACGGGTTGATAAAGGATCCTCGATTTTTGGGGCGTCACATAATTTATGTGATATGTCGTATTTGATTGATGATTCTTCAATTGCTTATCAATTGAGTTATTTGGTATTTGATCCTTTCGTACATTTATTGCTGAGTATATTGTTTTTTGTTGTATTTCCTCACTTAATTAATNACCCTCCTATGGGCCCATTTTGAGGAGAGAGCTGAGCTTTGGATCTCGTTTGTAGTCCTTTGTGTACATCTCTAAGTACAAAACATGTATTTTGTTAAAGACTTATAATGAGACTTTATGTATGGACATTTATTCTTTTAATGAATTGATGTTTTATAAGAATGGTCATGAATGAATGGTCAATGTCTAAGACTTAGACTTTGGGGTGTTGGACATTGGAATGGTCATATGGGTGTTGTATGCATAGGTTGTTTATTGGGCAGAGCTCCTCATACAAAAGAGCCTCTGCCCGGATTTCGTTTAATTGTGGATCCTAGTAAATGAAACGTAACGGCATGGTACCAGATAGGGGTGTCAATTTTTGACTCGAACACGAACCTGACTCGAACCGAACNGCCCTCCTATGGGCCCATTTTGAGGAGAGAGCTGAGCTTTGGATCCGTTTGTAGTCCTTTGTGTACATCTCTAAGTACAAAACATGTATTTTGTTAAAGACTTATAATGAGACTTTATGGACATTTATTCTTTTAATGAATTGATGTTTTATAAGAATGGTCAAGAATGAATGGTCAATGTCTGAGACTTAGACTTTGGGGTGTTGGACATTGGAATGGTCATATGGGTGTTGTATGCATANCTCTTAATCGATAGATAATTCTTAACCAATTGTTTGGAAGAAGTTAAATGTCTTATTTCAGGACTTTCTTAGATTAAAACATTGAGATTTTTACTAAATAACGGAGAAGTTAACAACAAAGAACTAATAAAACTAATCTAAAAACCACTCTTAATAATGCCTAGATCGTAGGTTTTTTAGGGAGTTGAACGTGTGTCTTTTCCTTCATGGATTGTCCTTTATAGCCATCTTATTTGATGGTTTTGCTCCTATTAATGGTTACCTAATGGTAACTACCAGTTTGTTGCCTTCCTCTTTTCAAATGTTGTTGCAACTGATCAGCTCCCACTTTTTTTTTAAATTCCATCACGTTGCACTTCCTCAGTAGATTTGGGAATGTCATGTATCAATACACTAAATATTCTTAAAATTTTATACTTTAAGCCCAAAAAAGACTAAAATAATGGCTAGATTAATGGTNCTCACACGAATATTGACACGAACCCGACATGTACCGAAAGTGATATGACACGAAAATAACACGACCGAAAGTGACACAACATGAAACTGATACAACACGACACAATTGACACCCCTACTACCAGATTATACAGTATTCACTAATATTTCCCAGGCTGATGGGTGATCAACGGGTTGATAAAAGATCCTTGATTTTTGGGGCGTCACATAATTTATGTGATATGTCGTATTTGATTGATGATTCTTCAATTGCTTATCAATTGAGTAATTTGGTATTTGATCCTTCGTACATTTATTGCTGAGTATATTGTTTTTTGTTGTATTTCCTCACTTAATTAATTTTTCAGGAGGATTATGGAACATATATCTTAATTGGAATATTAGAGATGTAAGTTGTGAGAGTTATTTGTATTTGGAGATTTGATTATTAATTTCATTTTTATTGGGATAATTAGAGCTCTGATCTATGTATTTCGAAGTACTTTTGTGAAATCTGTCAACTAATTTATAAGATAATGCATCCAGAAAATCAGGGTGTTACAAATATTATCCCACTAGGCATGCCAAAAAATTGTTGTTCCAAAATTTGCTGGGATCGACTAAAATTTCTTAATCGATAAATAATTCTTAACCAATTGTTTGGAAGAAGTTAAATGTCTTATTTCAGGACTTTCTTAAATTAAAACATTGAGATTTTTACTAAATAACGGAGAAGTTAACAACAAAGAACTAATAAAACTAATCTAAAAACCACTCTTAATAATGCCTAGATTGTAGGTTTTTTAGGGAGTTGAACGTGTGTCTTTTCCTTCATGGATTGTCCTTTATAGCCATCTTATTTGATGGTTTTGCTCCTATTAATGGTTACCTAATGGTAACTACCAGTTTGTTGCCTTCCTCTTTTCAAATGTTGTTGCAACTGATCAGCTCCCACTTTTTTTTTAAATTCCATCACGTTGCACTTCCTCAGTAGATTTGGGAATGTCATGTATCAATACACTAAATATTCTTAAAATTNATTAAATTCCATCACGTTGCACTTCCGCCGTAGATTTGGCAATGTCATGTATCAATACACTAAATATTCTTAAAATTTTATACTTTAAGCCCAAAAAATACTAAAATAATGGCTAGATTAATGGTTAATTTTAAAAAATTCACATTTGACACTTAGNTTTAAATTCCATCACGTTGCACTTCCTCAGTAGATTTGGGAATGTCATGTATCAATACACTAAATATTCTTAAAATTTTATACTTTAAGCCCAAAAAAGACTAAAATAATGGCTAGATTAATGGTTAATTTTAAAAAATTCACATTTGACACTTAGACAATAATGTCTGAGTAAACAACGGAGAGTAGGCTCAATTAAACCTCCACTGTTAAGAAACACTCGTATTGACTCTTCAATTGATTTCTTCTTTTTAAGAGTAATGTTATACTTGACAAGTTTTTCATCTTAAGTGGTATAATGCAATATCTACCATTAAATATTAATAAATTTTATTTATTTAATAATAAAAATTATGTCATATCGTTTAAGAAAAGAGAATTGATAAAAAATTTTGATCAGCATAATAGTATTATTTTTTTAAATCTAAAAAAATACTATTTACGAAATTACACCCAATTCGTCATTCACCCATGTCCAGCCCCGTTCAATCGACCCAGTCCCACCCAGGAAAGTAAAGTAAAGAAAAGCTTCCACANTGTTTAAGAAAAAAGAATTGATAAAAAATTTTGATCAGCATAATAGTGTTGTTTTTTTAAATCTAAAAAAATACTATTTACGAAATTACACCCAATTCGTCATTCACCCATGTCCAACCCCGTTCAATCGACCCAGTCCCACCCAGGAAAGTAAAGTAAAGAAAAGCTTCCACACGCATACAAACATGTAATAAAGTTAAAGGCAGACAAGATAACAGAGAATCCCAGAAAGAAAAGTTATTTCAATTCATGGTAGCTTAACTGAGCTTTGATGCGAACGGTTTCGTTCCACTCGTAGAACTAAAATGTTATTTTCTCAGTGACTACGAACAAGAACTTTGCTAGTTTCAGGTACTGATTCCACTCCTCTCCTCTCTCTCAAAACTCACTCCTCAAACCGACAATCATACTTCATGTTCTTGGTCAGATAGTTGCTGGTATTGGTTATTTAATTCTGTGTTCATGCTCTCGAAGAAGTCCACATTCATACTTCTTGATTGAAGAAACCTATATTTTTTGAAAGTGAAGAACTCAGTATTTCAACTGTGAAAAAAATTTAGATTTGTTCTTTCCAAAACTGAAAATGCTTTAATTGACGATATATGCCACCATCAGAGAGCTTCAGGTAATGATTCTTCCTTAGTTTGTTCCCTCTCTAAATCTCCATCTTTTTCCCTCTAAAACAGGCAGCCGCATATACCTACATATCTAGTCTCTAAACCCGTTTTGCATCCATGGAAGAAAGATGTGCTTTAACTTTTCACCCCTTTAAAACCCTTAATTTACAGTTTATGCCACTACTGTTGTTGATACTGTTATGTTTATCGTATTCACCTTCTATATATGTTGTATCCAAGTCTAACATTGATACACAAGAGAGAGGGTCACTTGTTTTGTTCAAGTCACAGCTCCAAGACCCAACTCAAAGCTTATCAAGCTGGGGTTCTGGGTCCAAATGCACCAACTGGACTGGAGTCACCTGCTCGAATCAGACCGGTCAAGTCATTTCATTGAACCTTACTAGCTTGAACTTGTCAGGCCAAGTTCACCCCAGCTTGTGCAAACTCTCACTGATTGAAACCTTAATCTTGTCACACAACGGCTTTAACGGTATAATCCCACCTTGTTTTGGAATTTTTGGGAACCTAAAGACTCTGGATCTTAGCCATAACATGTTAAGTGGTGTTGTGCCTGATGCACTGATGAAGCTGAACAAACTTAATGAGCTTGATCTTAGCCATAACTTGCTTGGTGATGTCATTCCTCTGTGGATTGGAAATTTCTCGGGGAAGCTTGAAAATCTTGATTTGGGTTTCAATAATTTCCGTGGGGAGATACCTGAAAGTTTGTTTTACTTGAAATCACTCAAACATTTGGATTTATCCTATAACTATCTGTTGGGTAATCTTCAAGATTTTCATCAGTCTTTGGGGTATCTCAATCTTGAGTGCAATTGGCTTTCGGGTACTTTGCCTTGCTTTTTGTCATCTGTTGACTCTCTCTCTATCCTCAATTTAGCAAACAACTCTATTGTGGGAGGAATACCCTCTTGCATTTCTTCTCTTCGAGCATTGGCACAGCTCAATTTGTCATTCAATGGATTGAAATATGGGATTTCTCCAAGATTCATGTTTTCAGAAAAACTGGTCGTCTTGGATTTGAGTTTCAATGAACTTTCTGGGAATCTTCCGTGCAAAATTGTTCAGACATCAGAGAAGTCGGCGCTTTTACTTCTTGATCTGTCACACAATCAATTCTCTGGTGAGATTCCGCTGAGAATCACAGAATTGAATAGTTTGCAGGCCTTGTTTCTGTCCAACAATTTTCTTACCGGTGAAATTCCAGCAAGAATAGGAAATTTAACCTATCTCCAAGTGATTGATCTGTCTCACAACTCGTTATCGGGGTCAATTCCTTTAAACATTGTTGGTTGTTTTCAACTACTTGCATTGATACTCAACAACAACAATCTCTCTGGTGAAATCCCACCGGAGCTCGATGCTTTGGATAGTTTGAAGATACTTGATATTAGCAAGAACAAGATATCTGGTGAAATCCCACTGACCTTGGCAGGATGTAAATCGTTGGAGGTGGTAGATTTCAGTTCTAACAACCTCTCAGGATCTTTGAATGATGCCATAACCAAATGGTCTAACCTCAGATATTTGTCCCTTGCTCGGAACAAGTTTTGGGGAGGTTTACCTGGGTGGCTGTTCACTTTTGAAGCAATCATAACAATGGACCTCTCTAGTAACAAGTTCTCTGGATACATACCAGATGGTTCTGTTAACATTAGTTCGAGTTTCAATAATGGTTGCATTGGCGGGACAGTCCCTAGAGAGCCACTGGTTTCATCTCGAAGTCCGGACATTGAACTTTATGTGATAGTAGCTGATAGAAATGAATTATGCTTCAAGTACAGTCTCTCGCCCACAGTCAGAATTGATTTATCTGATAATATGCTGCATGGGGAAATTCCACAAAGCTTTTTCCGATTACATGGTCTGGAATACCTGAATTTGTCTCGCAATTTTCTTGAAGGTTGGATTCCCCCAGGTCTGGAGAAGATGTGGAGTTTAAAGGCTCTGGATTTGTCGCATAATTCTTTATCGGGTCAGATTCCGGAAAACATCTCCAGCCTTGCAAATTTGACGCTCTTGAATCTGTCATATAACTGTTTCTCTGGATTTATTCCCAACAAACAAGGATATTGGAGATTTCCGGGAGCATTTGCTGGCAATCCAGACTTGTGCTTGGAGTCATCTGGTGATGGGTGTCACCCAAAAAGCCTTCCATCAGGAAAGACATCTGAAGATGAAATGGCTGAGGGACCAATTTCGGTTTGGGTGTTCTGTACAAGTTCTGTTGTTAGTTTCTATTTTGGTATACTTTCTCTCTTTTGTTCGGCTCGAACAAGAAACTACATTCTGCAGGCCAAAGTTTAATGTGGTCTACATGTATGGGAATGATAACTTCCCATTGAACTGTCTCATTTTCGACTAGTCCTATTAAAATGAAATCACTTCTCTGGCTGCTTCAAACCTTGTAGAATTCCTTGCATTCATTCGTCCATTTCTTTTGTTTCTAACAGCTGCTGAAGACACCTGTTTCATTTTCTTACTAACCAAACGGAGGGTTGAAGGAGCGATGAACAAGAAAAAAGTGCAAAGGGCTGTTGAAACTTGCCAATGTTTCCAATTTGAATAATTGAAATTGAGATTCAGCTTGAATTTGAAAAAGGAAAGACTCTTATTCGATTGCTGGATTCAATTTGAAGTAGAACCTGAAATCTAGAGTTCTTTCCTCCATTTTGTGGTTTACTTAGAATTAGAAATAGTACTGGATGAGGTTGCGGAGATATGCTAGGAGAAAAATGTTATTCAACAATAAGTCTGACTCAAATTAGCACTACCATTTGTCTTAACTAGACGAGTTTTTCTTCTTTGGAAAACCAAAAGTGTGAATTTTTGCATTTTGCTTTTCTATTTTTCATATTTATCAGCAATTATATGGAGAGTCAAGTATGTGATTAGTGGTACTTCTTGAAGAACCCAAAAAACAAAAATAACAGGATCGCCACTTGCGAACCCGAATATGTAAAACCCAAATCACGATCTTGTTGCTTACTCGCACACCAAAATCTTGTCAAGGTGAAGGAGTGGCTATCAAAGTTGCTCCTTGTAATCCCACGTTCACAACCAAGAGCCATTGGTGAAAGCCCAAGAGAGATAATATGTGCAAAGAGATGTACCTTAACATTCATATTAGATGTTTAGAGACATATATTTATTGGTGGTTGTAACCACATAGATAAGTATAATTCCATTATCTCCTAAACTGATTAAGAGGTAGAGACATATATCTAACCAAGCCCCAATGATTGGGTCAAGCCCAGTTTCCCCATGTGGGGGATCAAGGTTCAATTTTAGGTCTATATACCGACTCATAAAATACTAACATCTGCCACTCGCCCACATAGGGCAAGTCGTCTTTCAAAAATCTCTCTTTCACTCATCTCCTCATACAGGAAATGGACGTGCGACCTTATGAGAAGTGTATGCAAACAAGAGGAGTACTATGTTAAATTATCACCAAACTAACAAAGTAAATAAATATGAAGCATCTTGTACTACCCTAGACTATTCTATTACACCTAATGTAGCACTCTTAACCCCTCAACATAAGCAATGCTAAATCCCAACTATGTAATGCACTCATGACTTTATTGAAAAAAATAAATACAACAAAAGTCGCCAGAGTAATGAGTCACAAAACATGGTGTATCAATGCATGATCTTCCTTAGCCCTCAAGCCAATCCAACTAGACTCAACTGATTTCCTAGTCATCCCTGCAAGACCGCAGTAGTCATGACCCTAGGGATTGTTGAAGCATGGATTATTCAACAATCCCACTATCAGTCGGTTTCAAGCACATACAGTATGAAACGTATGCTATGGCGTTGCCTTATAAAATAATAGGCTTGTCACATTTGATAGAATAAAAGAACACCATACAAATTTTAACCTAGTCATTAAAGAAGCGCCTAACCTGAATTTTTCAACCCAGACAATCTCATAGCGTTTGTCTGAAAAAAATACATCCAACTTTATGTAGGGTTAATAGAATTGTGGAGGTTCTCTATGATTGGCCTAATAACATCTCATCTTAGTTCTAACTATCGCGACATATGGCAGTGATGTTTATCATTATCTTGCTCATCTCTCAGGTGGCAAAGATATAAACATCTCATTTTGCTAGCTTTCTGATCTAACCTGATTTATGTCATACACCTAAGTATAAGTAGTCAATTTGTAATATTTCTCGGTTAAGTCCGAGGTCGAACCCACGGGGAGCTTAACTATCGGTATTCAAAGCAGAACTCTGTATTCATTGAATTATTGACTTGTCGATCAAATAACTAAAGTAAAACTCTTGAATGGTTCAACTTCGGGTTTACTAGGGCTATTTGGTTGTTGAATGGTGCATAGAACTTCCAGTCAAACAATAGAATGCATGTTAGATCCCTAAACTAAAGAGTACCCTTTTTCAATTGATGTAATCAAAAGTTTAATTTGAGTATTTTTTTTCTTAGTTCTAACTTCACACCACAAGCTATTATAATGCACACTACGTGGATGACAATCTTACCATTTTTATTTTGAGTTCTAACAGATAACTCCCTATAGGTTCGATCTCGAACTTAACCGAGTAATATTACAACTTAACCACGTGTATGACGAAGATCAGGTCATCAAGCCAAGGTTGATTAGGTGGATCCTTCTCCTCCAAGATTTTTATATAATTATCAAAGATAATTAAGGATTGGAGAATGTAGTGGCTCAACATTTATCAAGACTCATAATTGAAAACAAAGATGCTCACTTTCCTATCCCAAACCTTTTTCCCTGATGAGTATCTAGGTACTTTGAATATAAATATACCATGGTACGTTGATATTATGATTTATCTTGTTACCGGGCAGCTACCAAGTCATTGGAGTTCAAGGGAAAAGAAGAGATTCTTGGTCGAGGTGAAGTAGTTCTGCTTTGAAAATCCATATTTTTTTAATACTACCCCGATGAAGTGATGAGGAGATATGTGACAACAAAGAACAAAAGGATGTGATATTTTTTTTTTTTGTCATTCAGAAGCTTGTGGAGGTCACTTCTCATCCAAGAAGGCATTAGCTAGGATTTTAAAATGTGGTTTTTATTGGCCTACATTATTCAAAGATTATTTTACATTCTATAAGCATTGTGATAAATGCCAACAATTAGAATGTGTGACTCGTAGGAATATGATGCCCCTTACCCCCATATTTGTGATGAAAATATTTAANTAAATGCCAACAATTAGAATGTGACTCGTAGGAATATGATGCCCCTTACCCCCATATTTGTGATGAAAATATTTAATTGTTGGGGTATTGATTTTATGGGTCCTATCCCTATGCTTTTGGGTATGCTTAAATTGTTTTGGAAGTTGAATATGTATCAAAGTGAGTAGAAACAATTCTAACTAGGACTAATAATCACAAGGTTGTGATCAATTTTTTGAAAGAGAATATTTGTCTAAGTTCAGGATGCCTAGGGTAATAATCAGTGATGGTGGTTTACAATTTTGTAATAGGTCATTTGCTAATTTCATGCATAAATATGTACTTACACACAAAGTGTCCACAACTTAACACCCATAGACCAATGGCCAATAGGGAGATCAAGCACATCTTAGAAAAGATAGTCAATCTGGATAGAAAGGATTGGTCACTAAGACACATTTAGGCCTTTGGGCCTATAGGATTGCTTTTAAGACACATTTAGGTATGTCTCCCTATATACTAGTGTATGGAAAAACTTGTCATCTACTTGTAGAAATTGAACATAGAGCATATTGGGCCATCAAAAATTTGAACTTCAATATACAACTTGTAAACACCCCCCCCCCCCGTTTCTTATCGTTATATAGTAATGTGATTATGTTTTTGAAATGCTAAGATACGTAATGATGTATGCATGAACTATGGAGATTGTAAGAGTAGAAATAAAAATTTTAGTGGAGGTAATAGAGTATGTTGTAGAAGTTTGGAAGTATTCCGGAGTGAAAGTACACTTTAGAGAGAATTTGGGTAAAAAGAATTTTGGACACTGTCTAGTATTTGGACCATAACTTTTTCATTTGATAGCCATTTGATCTGAAATTTTTATAGTAGATAGTAGACTTCTAGGGCTACAACATAGGATTTCACAAAACTTTCCAAATCGACCTCTAAATAGGTCAAAACTTCACTGAAAGTTTCAACAAAAACTAGGAGGACGTTCGAACGTGAATGGACGTTTAAACTACAGTAAGTCCCAGTACTTTGATGTTTGTAGAGCTCTAATGGAAATGTAAAAGTACTAGGAGCAACTAAGGTTCGAACTCCAAGTGACGTTCGAACATGAATCAATAATTTGCACTATTGACGTTCGAACGCCAAAGTGATGTTCGAACATGACNGAAACTAGGAGGACGTTCGAACGTGAATGGACGTTTAAACTACAGTAAGTCCCAGTACTTTGATGTTTGTAGAGCTCTAATGAAAATGTAAAAGTACTAGGAGCAACTAAGGTTCGAACTCCAAGTGACGTTCGAACGTGAATCAATAATTTGCACTATTGACGTTCGAACGCCAAAGTGATGTTCGAACATGACTTACGGATTCCGAGTTTTAGAATCGCACACAGGAGGTCATTTTTTCCCTTATAAATACATAAGGACGCCTCTTTTAGCCTCCATACACCATTTACAACCCTAGAAAGCTTTGAGAAACAAGAAAGAAGGGTAGAAAACACAAGACCAAGAGGGATTTACACCTTGAAAGTAGATCAAAATCTCAAGTTTTTCAAGAACACTAAGGAAGAAGAAGGTAGGAGTTTTCTTCCACTCTTATTCATTGATGCTAGGGCTTATATATATACATGTTTTGACTCTAAATCATCTATATATATATTGAAATCTTTGATTCTTGATATTCTTGCAACTATTACTATGTTTTGAGTGAAGTTATGGTTGATAGCCATAAAACCCTTGTTCTTGATGTCAAAACCTAGTTTTTTGGGAAACATGAAATCTTCTTCTTGATATTCTTGTGCTCTTGATTCAAAAACCTTAGTGCTTTATTTTGAACAATAAAAGTATGTCTTTTGATGATCTCTTGTGTATTTTCTTAAATTGTTCTATTGGAATCATATATGTGAAATTTGGGGATTTTGGATTTTACGTATGATTGGAGAAATTGGTTGGGTGTTGTATCTCTTGTGGATGTTTGGATGACCATGGTTGGCCGTTGACTGGGTATCATAGAGTGGGTAGATTCGTTTCTTACTTCGTGCAGGTTTGAATTTTTCCTACCATTCGTATTGGGGTTGGTGCCTTGTGAGGACCAAACCACTATTCGCTCACGGGTACCAAGGATGAGGGTTAGTATACTATTCCTGGGTTGGATTCGTCATTGCCAATGCGTTGGTATACTCCCTTTCTAAAGTTTGATATCCTTGCGA